TATACGCACTCTTGTCTGCTGAAGCCACAACATCCAGTCATCCAGAGTACCATGCTTGGAGACAGGTCTTTAAAGAGGTAAGTTAAAAGGAGGTAGTTAGGGTGGCCTTGATCCGTATGACTTGGGTTTCTTGTAGAAGGGATCAGGACACAGGCACACAGAGGATGATCACATGAGGACACAAGAGAAGACACCATCTGCCATGTAACACCTTGTAACACCTCTACCTCAGACTTCTAGCCTCAGAGAAAGCCCTGAGGAGATGCTGAAGTGCTGTCCCCAGACTGAGCTGACTCACCTCTGCCTCTGCAGCTGTCATGCCCCAAGGTCCCGCTGCTGCTCTGCAAATGTGCCCCCTCAGGCATTAGTAACTGGGGCTGGCTTTTCCTGGTCCTGGAGGTGCGACAAGAAGCACCCAGATGGAAGCCCATAACCTTCCCTCATCTTCCACAGTGGAGGGTGGGTGCCTGCTGGTGGGGGTGGGGGTGCTGGTAAGAAGGACTGGGACTGGCAAGCATATCCCACACTGCCTCCTATTGCTGAGAGACCTTTGGCAGTCACTCTGGGGGAGTGACAAGCGACTCCCCAGGAGGCCCCTGCCTTTCTGTGACTGAAGCTGCACCTCTGGGAAACACCTAGGCAGCTGGCAGTTCAGAGCCCAGTGGATAGTGGCCTATTCCCAATTGTAAAATGGAGGGGTTTGGGGGCGGGGGGAGGAACTTGCAATCTCAGCAGGGGTCCTGTTCCTGCTAAGTACCTAGAGGCAGGAGGCAGGAGGCAGGAGATGGGGTTCTCTGTGCCTTCAGGCTTCTGGCCAGTCACTTCACTCAATTAAACCCAACCAGAAGCCAGGGAGGGAAAGTGCCAGAGTGATAAGGCAGGAGCCCATCGATGGTGGTGGCAGGGAGCAGGAATCAACCCTGGGAAGGCCACACCTGCTTTCAGCCCATCTCTTTTCCCTTCCTCCTTCCTTTAGGCCCACCAAGGAGAAGATCTGGTTTGAAGCAGAGGTGTGCTACCCTCCTGTCAGCCTTTCGGGGAGTCCTTCCTGAACCTCAGGCCTCTTGTCTCCAAGCCCAGGGCATAGGCCTTTTCCTCACCTACTTAGAAGGTTTGGAGTGTGTAGAGGCCTGAGCTGGGCCCTGGATCCTCTCTACTTAGCAAACCAGTCCCTCCATGTGAACACAAAACAGCAAGCACGGTGTCCTTACTTCAGGCAGGCACAAGGGAGGTGTAGCCTCCACTCTCGTTCACTTGGAACCCTTCTCATTTTAGGGTACCTGTGAGTGTTGGGTAGGGTAAGACCCTCAAAGAGGCCAGGATTGTCCTGGGGAGACTGGAGCTCCCCGTGTCATTGTGCTGTTGTCTTTTCTCTGGCAGCAGCCTCCAGCCTCCACCCTCCACCCTCCAGTTCTCATGGCCTAGGCACCCCCCACAACCAGCCTCTGGCTTCCTCTCATCTTCTCTGGGCTTCAGAACAGGTTTGAGTCAGTCCCCAGTCCCCCAGAGCTCAAAGATGATCCAGACTCATCACTCAGACTGAGTCTAAGAAGCCACTCACCAAACCAGGCTGGAGAACAGAGAACTGAGGACACCCACCCAAGGGCCCAGAGGTGCTCTGAAGCCTCCAGGAGCCACCTGAGACGACCCTATGTCAGGTCCCTTAAGCCTCACCCTACAATCAAACCAGTTGCCTCTGGATACAGATGTGCTGCCATGGTCCCCAGGTCGCTGAAGGTTACCAGTCTCAGGAGAAGGGAAGATGTAAGAGCAACAGGGCCCTGTTGACAGTAGTGTTTCCTGACACAGCCCTTTCACTGATTGTTGTGTCTGGGTGTCATCATCTTCAAGGGACTGTGGTCTCAAGACAGCCAGGAAGCAAGTGATATGTGGGGCCTCTTCACACAGCAGTTTTGGGGGGGGTAGCTTGAGGGCCAGTTTCCTGGGTGTGAGACCTCTGTAGCCCCCTAGGTCCCACAGTGTCCCTATGTCCCACAGTGTCTTGGTATTCTTCCCTTTGAATCTGAGTGGGTGAATGAAGGTCAGGGGACTTTGGAATATGCTTGTGAGTTAAGGAGACATTGTACTCTGTTCTTGCCACCCCACAACCCCTCTGTCAAGCCCTAGGTCTTCCAGTTACACCTACAGCTGAGCAAGATAGGGTGTCCAGAGGCCACATTTGCCATTCAAACCAGGACTTGGCTTCAAAGGCAGGAAGGATACAAAGTAAGCATGAAGGATTGGGGGACAATGTCTGTCTTAGCGGGAGATTTCCCAACATCAGACAACCACTTACACTGAATATGCTGACAGCCACTGTTTGCAGCTGTTGCTTGAGACAGGGTCTTATTGTATAGCTTTGGTTGGCCTGGAACTTGCTATGTAGATCAGGCTGGCCTTGAACTCACAGAGATCCGCATGCCTGTGCCTCCCGAATGCTGGGATTAAAGGCATGTGCTACCATGCCTGTCTGTCCTGTCCCTCTTTCCCATCAGTAAACAAGGATGGAGAGTATTAATACATTACACAAACCATTGAACTTTGGCCATTTAGTATCTCTGGGATACAGGGAACTATGTCCAGTCAGAGTTTCTGCATACCATTTAAATGTTCTCTCACATTTTCATGTATAACTAACATTACAGAACAAAAAGACAGATGGCAAAATTCATGCTATTTATTCCAGTCTTTTATATTTAAGGGTGACTGATTTTGGAAGCTATCACCCCTGAGATACCAAAAGGGGGGGGGCTCAAGACTCCTCCATAAAACCCTGCAGTATGTTATAGAACCTACACATCTTTTGTGTGCTTTAATCTTCCTTCTATGACTGACAATATCCACTACAACAGAATGCTATATATGATGGGTTAATGTACTATTGACAAGAGAAAATTCCCCACATGTTTACCATGGGTAAAATTGTTTCATACAATCTTTTGTTTTGTTTTTTAGAGACAGAGTTTTTCTGTGTAACCTTGGTTGTCCTGGAACTTGCTCAGTAGACCAGGCTGGCTCCTCCTGCCTCTGCCTCCTTAGTTCTGGGATTAAAGGTGTTTGCCACCACTCCTAGCATCTCAAAATATTTTCAATGGGGTGGAGAGATGGCACAAACATAAAAGTACTGCACAAGCATGAAGACATGAGTTTGACCCCCTGCAACCATATAAAAAGCCAGGCAAGGTGGCATTAGTCTGTAATGCCAGCTCTGGAGAGGAAGACCCCTGAGGCTTTCCAGGCAGCCACTATAGTCTATGAATGAGCTTCAGGCCCAGTGAGAGACCCTGTCTCAAAAACTAAGATGCAGAATAAATGAAGAAATCACCCAACATCAACCTGACTTCCATACATGCACACAAATGCACACATACTACACATGTGCATGCATGCACATGAATTTTCAAAGCTCATTTGGAAAGCCCTTGGATACAGAAGGCCAACTGCAATTTAAATTGTCAATGTTCCTTTCTTTACAGTGGCATTAAATTAATGGATACAAGACACCCCAAGTGAAGACACAAAGCAGTGAAGAAAGAGAAGGTTTGTGTTTGAGATCCTTTGATGCTACTTACTCCTTTGCCCTTTTAGAGTAAGGAGTGTGTCTCAGTCAGCTTCCTGTCACTACAATAAAGCGCTTCAGGTAATCAGTCCATAAGAAGAAAAAAAAATTATTTCAGTTTTTTGCAATTTCAAAGGTATCGGTGTAGCCCCGTGGTGCTGCCGTTTTTTGGGGGGGCACATATCATGGTGGAGACACATGGCACGCATAAGAAGACTGCTCAAAAAACAAAGAAAGATGAAGGGTAGGAGCCTCCTGAAACTCTACTTGTTTTGCTCCATGCCCCAGGCATTACTCAGCCAGCCCTGGACATCCTGCTGACAGCTGGGCTCTCAGGGCAGCCTTGACCTCCTTGGGAACACAGTATCCTGGGGAGTATGGTGCCTTTGATGGTGCTGTCTGGAAAGGAAAGAACCTTGTACAACATGGCCTTGACTGACAGTCTGGTCTATACAGCTCACCTGAACCCCGGGGCTGCACAGGCTCTCTGCCACGGCCTGGGGCCCTGTGCTTATTCCCTCGACACTACTATATAAGGGACACATTGCTGTTTGGAAGAATGGCATCCACCAGAGACTGGACTCCCAGGTGGGGTGTCTGGGCTACCTGTGGCAAGTGGCACACCCAATTCCTAACAGAGAGTGGTGCCAGTGAAGATTCCCTGGATGTGTGGCTGGAGACCATAGTTCATAGGGTATTCAACCTTGGCAACTTCCCTGACCTATTTTGGGGCCTTTGTGTGTCACTGACTACTCCCCATCACACACACAATGTGGAGAGACACATTTGGGACAAAGTGATTTGTGAGTCAGAGTCCATAGAGATCTTCTCAGTAGGGTACACTGGTGCAGCCCCGGGGCCCCAGTGATTAAGAGACAAGAGCGTTTATCGATCACAAGTAAAAGAGGGTTCCCAAAGCTCCCAGGATCCCAGGTCACTGGATTGCCCTCCACCTCCTCACTTACCCTGCCAGGGTGAGTATGACACTGAGTATGACTCTGCGAACAGTAACCGTTCTGCGGCACTACTTCACCTTGTCCCATGGTTGAGAGCTACAAGAGGCTATCCTTGCCCCCACTCCCCAGACTGATCCAGATCACTTTCTGCCTGGAATGGGTATCTCTCCTTCCAGCAGAACTCTGATGCTCCCTACCCCCACTCCAGCATAGGGCAAGCCAGGGACCCTGGGCCATGAGGGGCCCTGTCCAGCAGCGACTCTGCCTAGGCTTGTTCATCCAGAATACCAAATGTTGGGGGTGTCCTCCCCAGGAAAGCTGACCACTCCTGACTACTCAGGGAAGAATGAGAGTCCAGGGTCAGAATCCCATTTACCTGCCATGATCAAGTTCTGTGGCTTCAGGCACTTAATCAGTGGGGATTGGTGTTCTGTAATTGACAGCTAAAGGGACTTTCTGACAAGAGCACAGCTGGGGTGACTCACCTGTTGTCTGGCTGCTTGTAAAAGCTCTTCTTCTCTCCACAGTGGCCCCCTTGGGATAAGTTTGGATAATGAATTATACGGTGACCACACTTCATGTCTTGAGGCAGGTTACAGGCACAGGGTAGTACACTGCCAAAGAGCTCCACTCTTGTCCCTCAGGCTATCATCTCCGGGAAACACCGGGTCAGGGACTCCAAACATGATACCTGGAACAAATTGCTTCCAAGAGACTTAAGAAATCAATCCAGCAAGTATGTGGGATGGATCCTGGTTCTACAGATCAGAGAGAGAATGTGTGTCACTGCGGGTGATAAAAGGCACTGGGGTTTCCTTAGGCATGGAAATCATACAATCTGGAGGTGCTTCAAAACCTCATGGAGGCAGGAAGCAGGGTGGGGCAGCAGTAGCCTCCTTAAGTCATAACCAGCTTTCACCTGGCTGCCCATGATCTGGTACATGCCTCTTGCCAATAGGCTTGTCTCCAGAAGAAGGCAAGTTCCCTGAGGTTGGAGTTTCTATCTGGCACACCATATCCCCACTCAGTTCATAAAGCAGAAAAGTTCTTTTGTGCCTGTGCTGTATATGAGTCTATTCACGAATGAAAGTCAGAGGGCATCAGGTGTTGGTTCTCTTCCACCTTGACATAGAGGGCTGTTTTTTTCTGCAGTCTGTGCCAGCCTGGCTGACCTGTTATACTTCCAGAGATTCCCCTACCTCTGCCTCCCATTTTCCCATAAGAGTGGAATTACAGATGTGCTATATAAGTCCAGCTTCTAGGTGAATTCTGAGGATTTAAAGTCAGGTCCTCATACTTGCACAGCAAGCCCTTTCACCTACTGAGCCATCTGTTCTGCCTCCTCCACCCCCCACTCCCACCCCTTTGAGCTCAGACTGGCCTGAAACTCACAATTCCCCTGTCTCTGCCTCCTAAGTGTTCAGACTACAGGTGTGAGCCAATAAAGTTGCTTGCTTAATGAAGATAGAAACTTCAGATATCCCATAATACAGCAGAGCACACCATTGACATCACTGGAGATTTGTGTACACACAGAGGCTCATGTTTCCAGCAATCCCCCTTCCTGCCCCCACCTTTCCGTAAACCACTTTGAGATACAGGAAAGAAAATCAGGTTCCCTGGCTCAGTGAAGACACTGGCTGGCAATGGACTCTTGGGGGACAGGGTGGCCCTTCCTCAGTGGCCATGATAGATCCCATGTTGTTTTCCAAACAGGCCCACTCAGTCCTACAGCTTCAAGCAGTTGCTGGGCTGACCCAAAATGAACCAGATCCTCATCAGAGCAGCTGACAAACTTTGATCCAAGTTAGATTCAACTTTGACCCTGGCTTTAGGGTTCTGGGTCCTGTGAAGAAGAGGGGGACCCTGCCATGATACTGAGACAGACAAACTTCTTGAATACAGTACATGGAAGACATCTGCTCCATGGAACAGCACTTGCTGATTCCCACAGCTCCAACGGTTGTGTTCCTACCACTCCCTCCTGAAGAAAGGGATGCTAGCAGCACCCTAAAAACACCTGGGGATCCCCTCAGCCCCACCCAAACCCCTGCAATAAAAGGGAGCTTTGGACACACGGAGACTTCAAAGCTGCAGAGGTTCAGGGTCAAAGGTGGAGCTGGGTAATATCTTAGCAATCATAGCTTGGTTCCCTGGGCTAGGGAACATGGGTGGGGAGTCCTTGGGAAACTTTCAGGTCTTCCTTGCTCACTAGAGAATCTTACAATTGCAGTAGAGATCTATCTGCAGGACCTATGGTCACTAGCCCTAGCAGCCAGCACAGGAGGAGCCCAGCACATGCTGGCTGCAGCTCATGGACTGGTCTTCCAACCCCTTCCCTAAAAACCGGAAGGTAGGTAGACTCAGCACCATTTGCGAGCTAGGCAATTTGCCAAGGGCACCCAGCTGGTAAGGGAGAGAGAGAGACCTGGACCTGGAGATGCCCACAGTCCAGAGATAGGGAGTCAATGGTTCCCACACATCAAATTATCTTCAGCCTGCACTTGCCCTCTCATACAGACCCTTCCTAGGGGTAAGCTGCCCTAGAGGGCAGACACTTGATCACAGACACCTGCATGAAAGCCCTTGTCCTCTGAGATGCCCAAATTGCTTTGCCATCTGTGGAAAGATGGCTAGAGTAGGCACTCACATCTATGTATCCACCCATGCAATGTGGGACTCAAGATTAGTCTCAGCTACTACTATTCCACCCAGGCCTAGCCCTCACCTAGGAAACAGGGACGAGGAGGTAGAAGGCATTGCAAACACCAATGAAAAACAACTTTTATAGAATAGTACACTTTACAAAAGCAGGTTTCCCACACTGGCAAACATCAGCGCCAGGCTGGGTTTCAGAAGGGGAAAAGTGCAGCCAGGCATCTTGCCCTCAGGGCCTGACTGGTCCAAACTTTGGCCAGGTTGGAAAGTTATAGACAGTGGGGGTGAGGGGCAGAGACAATCTTTATTGTGCTCCAGGCCTAAGGATCCTTTGTACAAAAATAAGTCTTCATATTTTCAGTAGAGTCTCTCCAGCAGTTCAAGTTAATTCGTAAAAAAGATTGTCATTGTAAAATCCTTTCTCCTGAGAAATCTCCAAGCCCGAGTGCCACACAGACTGGGAGATGGAAGGTGTCATTCCGCGGGGTGGAGGCTGAGCAGAGGTCAGCACTTGGCTTTTATGGACAAGGCATCGGCCCAAGCTCCGTGGGCAAGAAGCGAGGGTCTGTCCACCAGGAGACAATCAGGGATGCTGTTATGAAGGGGACAGAAGGCGTTAATGTGTGTGGACACAGCCCTACCTCCCAAAACGCAGCAGGCAGTTTCGTTTGCTTGATTAGTTTTGGAGTCTAAGTTCGTGGGTGCCTCGATCCGCTCGGAGGCGCCGACGGGGGCGGGGCGCACGCTCAGAGCCGGCCCGCGGTGACTCAGGGGCCCGCTCCCGCCGACTCATTCTGCACCCCGGCCCAGGACGCGATTTGCAATGCAAACTCACCCCGCCTCCAGCACTCAACTCGGCCGGGTTCCACCAGCACTGGGACCTCGCCGGCCCGGCCCTAAGGCCGCTCCCCTCCTCTAGCTTCCCCCTCCCCCACCCGCAGCGGAGCCCGGAGAGGAAGTTTTGCAATCCCGGACAAACAAACGCTGGTCTTGCTCAGGCTTGAAAAAGGTTGAGGAAAAATGAAGCGTGCGCGAAATCGAAGTGATCGTCCCGGCCGAACCCTGCTGCCCTGGGTCCCTGTGGCGCGAAGCGCCAGGCCCGCCCACCACGTGTCTCCCTTACTGCCTCTCCTCCCTGCCACCCTGGAATTTACCTTAGAGGGGTTGGGTGCTCAGTAGCCTCCTAACCAGCTGGAAAAGTCAAGCAGCTCGCGCTCCACCGGACTCAGCTCTCCCTCGCAGCCACTGTCCTCAGACGAGTAGGCGGAGCGCGGTGAGCCAGGCTCCGAGCTGCCCCGGCGGTCCGGGGATGAAGAGGTGCAGGACAGCGACGCACTGGCGGGGGAGGTAACGGGAGGCGCGCGGGCGGCCGAGGGCCGAGTATCCGATGTTAGCAGCCCCCCGGCAAGCGCGGCGCGCACCGCGTCGTGCTCTGCAAGCAGCCGCTGCAGCGCACGAATGTATTCTACCGCGGAGCGCAGCGTCTCCACCTTACTCAGCTTCTTGCTGGCGCCGCCGTGCGGCACATGCTGCCGCAGCGCCTGGAAGCCCAAGTTTACCAGCTTCACGCGGTTGCGTTCGCGCTCGTTGCGGCGTGCCACGGCAGCCGAGCCGCCCCCAGCCTCGGTTGTGCCAGATCGCCGCCTGCGGCTGCAGCGCAGCAGTTCCGGGGATGCGGGTCTCCGCCGAGCAGCGCAGGTCCCAGCGACTCCAGGAGAGGCGGGCATGAGTCGGGGCAGCGAGCCCCCGTCCATCAAGCTCGCATCCAGCCCTCCGGCGCCTGCTACGAGTTTCTGGGAGCTACTGGAGAAGTGCCCCGAGGAACCGGGTGCGGTGGGAAGCGAACGGTCTCACCTCCACCGGTCTCCAGGCAAGGCACTGCTGCAGGGTTTCCTGGGGCACGTGTCGCTGGGCTTCTGGAGAGTCCTGGGACCCCGTGTAGTACAAGGGCTGAGAGTAGGGAAGTGTGGTGTGCTCGTGTCCCGCGCGTGCGGTCAGACCTCCCCTGGTCTCCCTGTGCGCGGCTCAGGCGGCTCCTTTTAAAATGTATAGATAACCCTCCTCTCCCTGCCGCCGCCTCCTTTCTCACGCCCTCCTTTTGCCTCGCCCTCCCGCCACGCTTTACCCTCCCCCTGGCGTACACATTCTGCAAAGCTGACACTGCGCGCCCCCACCCCCACCCCTCCAGGGTGCAGTTCCCAGGCTACTGCGCCCCCACGCTCCGGGCAAGTGCTTAGTGCGTCCACGACAAGTCCTAGAGTGCAGATCCCTGACTGCGCTCCCTAAGACCCACACCACCAGGGGCTGTCAGAGGGTCCGAGTGTGTTCCACAGGCATCCCTTCCCTCCCTGGTGTCCAGCACTCAAACCCCAATAGCTGCCAGGTCTCCACACACCTAGAGCGCACGGCCGAGTGAGGAACTCGACCAGGCTTTGCAGTGGCCAAGAAGTAGGTGAGCGTGACCACCCTCCCCTCCAAGCCCCATACACACGCGCCACGAACACGCTCCCACGTTCCTCCCTCTGGCGGAGGAGGCGGGAGCCGGAGTCTCAGCCAATCTGGGATCGTCCATTTGGCCAATGACAGCTGGCACGGTCCTATACTGGGCCAGGAGGAAGCGTACGCCTGGCGCGTGGCTTCAGAGATGAGGAGTGTCTGGAACAAAGCTCCACGCCCACTCCGCCCCACCCTGCTCCTCCCGGACCAGGGTGTCCACGTACAGCTGGTGCACACCTTTCTCCCTTTGAGTGTGAGGAGGGCTTGAGGAGTAGTTCAGACCTGTTCTGGAAAATGTCATGTTCCCCAGGCACCTTGTCCCCATACACACCCCATGCCTCTGTGGTTTCAAGGAGCCTCGGAACCCGGCGCCCTGACCCAAGGGGATGCAGTCAAGTCAACTCTGGTCTCTCCTTTCCCACGCTGTCATCTGCATCTTAACAGCAAGCTCTCCAGGTCTGGGTCTCTTTTCCGGACTGTGCCTCCCGAACCCAGTCAGTCTATCTCATTTAGTTCCTGGGTTTTTTGCTCAACGACACTTTTCAGGATTCCAGCGGGCCTCTCAATCCCATCCCTCCCCTGAGGCCGGTGTGGGGAGAGTTGAAGAACAGGGAAATGTACTGATCTTGGAAAAGTTTCTGTCCTGCTCCACTGTCCAAGAACTGTGCCCTTGAGGCCATAGCAAGTCTAGTTTCCCCCCAAAAGGACTAGGTGCTCCTGAGCCTAAACCTATATATAATGTTGAAGTGGTCTATCTGACGGGACTGTTAAGTGGCCGCCTGCGGGCTCCGTTACCTTCCACGATCCATTTGGGCTATATCTTCCTAAACTAGCTTTTTACCTCACACTGTAGGAAATAGGCTGTGAGTCGCAGCTGCCTGGGTGCCTGCTTAGAGACTCCACTACTCTGCCTTGTGGAGCAATCCAAGTAGAAATGGAAGCAGAAATTGGGCTTGGGAGATTGTTCAGTGGGTAAAGTGCTTGATGTGCAAGTGGGGAGATCTCGGTTCAAATCCTCAGAACCCATATAAAGCCAAGATGGGAAGCAGAGAACAGGAGGATCCCTGTAAACTTCCAGGCCAACTAGTCACAAATGCAAAAATGAACAACAGACTCTATCTCAAACAGGCTGGAAGGAGAGGACCAACGGGACCAACACCGGACATAACCTTCAAACTCCATACATATCGTTGTGCCCACCCTTCCATACAAAAGCATGCACACATACAAAGCAAATGGAAGCAGATTGTATCCTCGGTCCTGGATAGCCTTGATCTGCAGACCTTCCCTGTTCAGAGGCCACAGCTGTCATGCCTGCCTCCCTGCATTTCCCTGAGGTTTTTTTTTTTTTTTTCCTTCATTGGGGCAGGGAGGGGGAATAGGGCCGCCTGTAACCTAGGCTAGCCCTGAGATCACTATGTAGCTAAGGATGACCTTAAACTTCAGAACTTCTATCCTCTTCTATCTCCAGAGTGCTTAGTTTACAGGTGTGCACCACCATACATACCCACTGTTATGTGATGCGAGGGACTGAACCCAGGCCTCCATACATGGTACATGCTAGACAATCTAGCAACTGAGCTTCATCCTCAGACCCCTTCCCTGATTAAAAAAAATATATTTATTATTGTATGTGAGTGTTTGCCTGCATGCATGTCTGTGCAACATGTATACGCCTGATGCCCACAGAGGTCAGAAGAAAGTGTCAGATCTCCTGGAACTGGAGTTACAGATAGTTGTGAGTCACCATGTGGGTGCTGGGAATCCCACACAGGTGCTGGGAATCCCATGTAGGCGCTCTTAACCACTGAGCCATTTTTTTTTTTTTACAGCCCCTCTCCCCTAATTCCTTCTTGGTAAGCTCAAAATGACAAGAGGTGTCCTTCACACTACACACCACCAAGTGAAGGCTAGAGAGCAAAGTGGTGACATTGCCAGGGCCCTGCCCTGGTGGTGAAGGTCCATACAGGTTATTACCTCTTGAGACCCTGTGGGACTGTAGCTACTTCTCTGCTGCTATGTTCAAGCTTTGTTCATCTTGGGACTGTGGAGGACAGCAACTGGTTCTAGTCATCTACCAGTTCTTCAACTAGATTTTGTAATTCAAATTTAATTTTTTCAGAATTTCATACATGAGAGTTGTATTTATATCCTCTTCACCCCTTCCTCTCTGGACTCCAACTCTTCCCTTGTCCACCCCACTCTCTCCCAAACTTGTGACCTCTTGTTTAATTATTAGTTTTATACACACGCAAACCCTACTGAATCTATAATGTTGCTCACATGTGTTTAGGACTGGCCACTTGGAATTGGATAACTTATCAGGGGGGCTCATCTCTGGAGAAAACAGATTCTCCCCCTACAGTAGCCTTAATTGACTACAGTGCTTTAGCTAAGGGCGGAGTTCCCCCATTCACCTTGGCATTTGTCAACTGATGATGTCATTTTTCGGATCTTGTACAGACAACCATATCGTTGAGATTTCATGGGTGTAGCTTCCCAGTCATATACAGAAGACATTATCTAGAAGCAGCCGACTTCCTGATCCTCTGACTCTTACAAACTTTTTGCCTCTTCCCCCTCCATGTTTCCTGAGTCTTTTGTGTAGGGATTGCCTTACAAATATGTCAGCTGGGATGGGCAATCCACAGTCAGTTGTTCTCTGCATTTTGAACATTTGTGGATTTCTGTAATGGTCTCCATTCTGATGTGAAAAAAGAAAAAGTTTCTTTGATGAGAACTGAGAGCTACATTTAACCAGTGGGTACAAGGATAAATATTTAGAATGCAGGTAGCGATTATATTGGTTTAAGAAATTGGCTGTGGTAGGCTTGCTTCTAGTGTACATGACCTCACCAGCTACGGGTAGCCAATCTAACCAGGCAGTTGTTGGTTACTGCCAAGATGTGCCACTGTTGCACCTTTGAGGATATCTTGCTGGGCTGGTCGTTGTTGCTAATCTACTTCATAGCTTCCTCATGCAGCTTGCTCTCCACAGCTGGTTTCTGGCTCCCAGGAGCAGAGCTTGTAAGACTCCTTGAGATCCAGGACTCTTAGGAGTCTCTGTTGAGACTCACAATCCATTCAGAGGGCCCACCATGTTTCCTTTCTCCCAGGTTGGTATCTACCCTACTTGTAATGAATCTTTCGCTGCCCACCAGCCAGCTTTCAAATGGTGACATGGAGACATCTTATTAATTATGAAAGCTTGGCCTTGGCTTAAACTTGTCCCCAACTAGCTCTTATAACTTAAATTAACTGATTTCTATCGATCTGTATTCTACCATTTTTTTTAATCTCTTCTCCATTTCTGTAAGTCTGACTTGTTCTGCATCTCCTGGCATCTCTCTCTCTCTCACCTAGATTTATCTCCTACTTCCTCTTCCTCTATGCCTGGAAGAAGACCCATCTACACTTCCTGCCTAGATATTGGAACTCAGCTCTTTATTAAACCAATTGCAGAACTATATCTTCACACTGTGTACGAGTGCCCCATTTCTCTATTTTTGTCTAAATAAAAGGAAAGGTTTTAACTCTAACATAGTAAAACTATACACAATAGAACAATTACCGGGTAAGAATTACATTTACAATTGCCAATGTATTTGGCAAATTAAGAGAAAATATTCCATTATCTATCCTATCTTAGTGAGTCAAAAGTTTTGTACCTAATTTACTTTCTATTCTAACTTGTATTACGAACCCAAAACTATCTTTTTAGACCTCAAAAATTTTTCTTAGATAAACAACTTAAGCTTTTCTGTCTCCCAACCTTATACCTCTTTTGTGCATTTCTTTTCTGAATTTGGTCACAAGGAAAACTGTAACTATAAGTATCTAGTCTTTAACCCCATCAAAAACCCAAGAAGGATATAATATTATCTGATTTAACAAGAGGTATAGAGCAAGCAACTTCCAAAACTAAGAAACAACAGAAACATATGGCTGTCTAAACAGTCATCCCAAGATTCCTCTAGAATATCTGACAGACTTTTCTGCGAAGCAGGAATTCTGAAGGACTCTCCTATCTTGTCTTGGCAAAGTTTGGCAGTTGTCTTCTTTTGTGTCCTGCTTGTCTAATTTGTACAGAATTCTGTCAGCAATTGAGGCAAGGGCAGTTTTTTGCCCAAATAGCTAGCTTTTGCCACAAATGAAAGTAAATTCCATATGGAGGTTCTTCGATGCTTATCATCTTCTTTTGAAGTAAGTTGGTGCTGCCAGGAGCAGACATGTCTGTCTCATTGTCATGAAAAGCCTTATGTTATTAAAACATTTTAAATGCCATATTTTGCAGCTCTTTGAAGTGTTTGAAGACCATATATCTACTTAAAATATATCTCTGTTTGACCTTAAAAACATATCTAATACAACTAACTATTAACCTGTCTTTCTTTATCATCCTAAATAGTTTGTAATAATAGCTTTCAAGAACTAGAACTTTACATTACATTTTTTTAATGAGTTGCATAGGTACAAATACCTTAAACAAGAAGTAGAAACACACACACACAAACACACACACACACACACACACACACACACACACACACAAATAACCTTAAATTTGTATCAATATACAAAAATCCATACCAATGTAAATATTTGAGACTAGTGGACTCAACTGATGGGGGAAGTCCTTGTGTGTATGTTTGTCTTATTGGTTGATAAATAAAGTACTGTTGGCCAACAGGGAAGCAAAATAGGTGGGACTAGGAGTCCAGGAGGATTCTGGGAAATGTAGTAAAAAAAGGTCTTGTGATACAGGCATGAAGTGACATAGCAGACTGACTCAGAATAAAAGCAGGGACAAGCAGGAAACCGCTCTCTTCCTCTTCCTCCTGCTCCCTTCTCTGGAGCTGCCATGTAAGCTCGACGAGAGAGGACGCATGCCGCTGGCATCCTCAATCAGATAAGTCTTTATAAAATATATAGATTAATAATTATGGTTGATACTTAAGACAGAGATAGCAGATAAGAAATCCAAATCATTGGCCAGTGGCATTGTAACTAATATAAATCTCTGTGTGTTATTTGGCGGCCCTAATGTGGCTGTGGAAGTGGGTGACTTGGCAGAAAGATTTATCGTTACACTCAACAATCTACTCTTTTATCTCATCATTTTTATACTATATCCTTCCTTTTTCCCTTCAAAAAAAGATCCCTGAATTTAATCTTCTTTGCTCAGCTTTTCCCTCACCACAAACAACTTGTAACCAATCCTCCTAAATAATGATAAACATTCACAATTCACTGAATGCCCCCACACCCACCCCACCTCTTGGGAATGTGGACATCATGTTCTCTAGACTCATTCCTGTTGTCTAGGGGCATCTTTGGGGGATCCTGAGAAAATTGGGATAATAGTCTGTATCATAAATAATAAAAACCCAGAGACAGATACTGGGGTTCATGCTGAAGATCAGAGAAGCAAAGCAGCCAAGCCACCAGAGAGTTCTTATCTCTACCAAGGCTGGGACAATCCTCAACATGGCTTAAGACTAATTGCCAGAATATAAGACCCTACTCCTATCTAATATACCTCTCTAGTGCTGAGATTAAAGGTGTGAGCTCTATTTCTCTTCTAGACCAATTCACTCTCATGTAGCTCTAGGTGTCCTTGAACATCTGCCTCTGTCTCCTGAATCCTGGGATTAAATGTGTGTGCTACCACTGCTCAGCTTCTATGGCTGTGGCTAGTATAGCTGACTTTGCATTCTGATCTTTAGTGGCTTTATTAGATCATAAACAATATATCCCCACAATGGTCAAGTCCTAGGAGAGTTAGCTGTATTATTTTTTGTATAGTCTCTGTGTGATGGGAAACTGTAGAACTTATCTGAAGTTTTGGCTGTAGTAATCTGCGAGGTTGGACCATCTCAGTTAGTAGCTTTGAAGTTGTTCTGAATGCAGAATTTTGAGGAAACTACAACAGAGGCATTCTGAGGCTGGATCATCTGGGCTACTTTATTGGTGTCTCTTCCTTTTTTTCCCTGAAAACACATAAACTTTTAAAGGTAACATATATATCTGCATTAACACAAGTATGGAATGTGTAATGTGTACAAGTCAGCCAAAGATGACATTTTATTTTATGTTTGAGCAGGTTAACTTAGTAAGTCTGTTTGGACTGTATAACCAAACTTCTATCCATTCCATATGAAAGGATGGAATTTAATAATAAGTCAATAGGACTCTGTAGCCAACAAAATTTATCATGTCTCATCTAGTCTCAGAGCTGTTCCCATGCAGAGACATCAGCACACACGTCACCTGCCCTGTAGTCTTTCCTGTTTTCTTCCCTCAGTCTGTAGCCAAGATCCTCCGGAAGTCTCCCCTGGTCAAATCTGATCTCTATTAACTTTGAAAGAATCCATACTTTTTCATTTCCTGTGGAAACAAAGGTGTAACCTCTCACCCAATGAGACACATTTCCCGACTTTCATTCTGAAGTCAAGACATCTCTAAAGTACACAGGCTTATTTAATTTAGCAATCCCTTGAATAATCCAATGTCTCTCAGCAGCTGTTGTTTGCTCATCAGCATTAAAAAAAATTCAAAATCAACAAAGCACCATACAGGATCCAGAAGTCCTCTGTATCTCACATACTTGATTGGCTTATTTTCTTTCTTATATTACTTTACTCTTTCTTTAAAGACTTTATTATTTTTAAACTATTTTACTATGACTGTCTATATTCATTTCTCTTCTTTCTTTAGCATCTAAGCACATTTTAAAATGTACCTTTTCAGAGGTTTTCTGTGTCTGGGCCTGGCTTTACTAAGCACCTTCAGGGTTCTCGGACTGGGTGAGACAAATCTTAAACTGCCATGTCAGCTGCCACATGGCTCAGCTTAGCACATGATGCTGGCGCACAGCACTGGTGGCTGGCTCCAGCCTGCAAGCAGTGGTCAGTAGCCATGCCTCTGTATGCTGAGCACTGGTCTGCCTGAGAGAGTGTAGGACTAGGAAGCCACATCCAGCTCTTTGTCCAGAACTTTCCTTAGCTTTCTCAGGCCCTGTTTGGATATTTGAGCCTCCAAATTGGATGGATTTTTCTTTGGGCTACCAGCTCCCAAATAATGACACAGAGGCTTCTTATTAAGTATGAAAGCTTGAAGCTTACACTTGTTCACAACTATCTCTTATAACTTAAATTAACCCATTTCTTTTTTTAAAGATTTTATTTATTTACTGTGTATATAACATCCTGCTTCCATGTATATCTGCACACCATAAGAGGGCACCAGATCTCAAAGCAGATGGTTGTGAGCCACCATGTGGTTGCTGGGAATTGAACTCAGGACCTCTGGAAGAGCAGACAGTACTCCTAACCCATTTCTTTCAATCTGTGTTCTACCATGTAGTTTTTTTTTAACCTCCTCTCCATTTCTATATATCTGACTTGTTACGCATTTCCTGGTGTCTCTCTTACACCTAGATTATCTCCTACTTTCCTTTCTCTCTGCCTGGAAGTCCCACCCATGCCACCTGCTTAGCTATTGGCCATTCAGTTCTTACATATTAAACCAATCATAGCAATATATCTTCACCCAGTGTACAAATATCCCACAACATTACTTCTATCAGGCCAGTGTCTTATCCCACCCAGCACCTTTCCCACTGCTGCCACCCCTCCCCCATCCTGGCTCTCTCACTTTCTGCAAGCTCACCCTATCCTCCTCAGCTTAAAGGTGACAGTTCCCTGGGGATTTGGTGTCTTCCTAGGTGTCCCCTTCATTTCTTAACCTCATTTACCCACACCCTCTGACCTCTGACTTCTGCCAGCCTTCAACACGGGGCAGTTCCTTGTTCTGGAATCAGTTGTCTCCTGGACATGTGAGTCTCAAGTGTCTCTCTTATAGGACTTGGAACATGGCTCTGTCTTTACCCATGTAGTCTCCATGTGGATGTTTTGAAACAGCCAAATGTCCAACAGACAAATGGATGGATAAAGCATGATCTGACCCAGAAGGGACTAACACTCAGCCAAGAGAAGAGATGAAACACTGGTAGGCACCATGGTGTTGGTAGAGAAGAGTGGGTGAAAGAAGGCAAAATCAAAAGACCATATATTATATGACTTCACTTACAAGAAATGTCCAGAATAGGACAGTCTCCAAGACAGAAATAGACACTGGGACAAGAATGAGGGGGAGGTAGTGGCTACAGGGTATGAATTTCCTTTTAATCACAATATTCTAAGGAGTAAGGAAATAGCTCAGCAGATAAAGTGCTTGCCATGCAAGCACAGAGGTCTGAATTTGATTCCCCAGAACCCACGCAAAGCCTGGCATGGAAGAGCGTCCCTGATCTCAGCCTTGCTATGATGATGTGGGAGATGGAAAGGAGAATCACTGGAAGCTCAAGGCCACCTGACTTAGAATATACACTGTGAACAACAAAGAAACCTTGTCTCAGAAAGGTAGAAGTTGAAGACTGACACTCGAGAGAATCTGATCTCCACGCATGCTATGGCAAACCATGCATACAGGCTGACTATACTGAAGTTTACATGCTGTGGTTGAATGTTTCAGTGAAGTGTGTGGTGTGTGACTATGCTCAGAAAACAACTAGAAGACTTGGATATGCATGTGCCCTGCCTGCTCCTTGGTGCCTCTCCTTTGCAAGGGTCATTTATTCCTGGCTTGTGTGACTTCTCTTGAGTTCCCTTTCTTGAGCTCTCAAGTAGGCACAGAACAGCTTTTTCAGAGAAGAATCTGATAGCAAATGTATCCTGCTTTGCAGGCTACACAGTCAGTGTCATGTGTCCTGAATTGCTAATGAACAAATGCTGCCACAGACATTACAAAAAACAAAACAAAACAAAACAAAACACCAAGAGTGACTGTTTCCCGGCAAAAGAACACTGTAGACACTGCATCTGGAACTTCAGGTCCTATTTATGCATACAGAAATGTTATTTTGGTGTGTGTGTGCGTGTGCGTGTGTGTACATGTTTATGTGGGTGCGGGTGCACATGTGTGTGGGATACATGTGTGCTGTGTATACAAGAACATGTGGCAGCCAGAGGACAACCTCAGGTGTTGTGCCATCTACTTTTTTTTTTTTTTCTTGTGACAGGGCCTCTCACTGGCTTGTATCAGGTGGCTGACTGGTCAGCAAGTCCCAGCGATCCTCTTATCTCAGCCTCCTCTAGGATTACAAGCAATTAGCAAGCCTAGCTTTTTATTAGATTCTGGAATTCAAACTCAGGTCCTCGGATCCAGCAAGCACTTTATTAACTTAGATATCTCAGGTAGCCTAAATTTTGACCTTTTTAACTACTTTAATATGTTTTAATTTTAAAAATTCAGTATTTATTTTATTTTTCTGGTATGGGGGTTTTGCCTGTGTGTGTATATATATGCACCACATTAGTACAATACCTACAGAGGCAAGGAGAGAGCCTTAGATCCCCTGGAACTGGAGTGGTTGTGAAGCCTCTTTGTGGGTGCTGGGAACTGAACATATGTCCTCTGGAAGAGCAACAAGTGTTCTTAACCACTGGGCCATCTCTCCCACCCCTCTAACTCTGAGGCAGTACTACAGCAGGCAAAGGTCCTAATGTAAGCCACAATTTCTAGCCTCGTGATACGTGCACTGAGCCTCAGTCTCCCCACAGCTTCCCAAACTGAACTCACGGCAGGTTTATCTGACCCTTCTTTTCCCTCAGCCCATGTCCCTCCTAGGTCCCCTCTATATAGATGTCTCCATATGATATGCGTGACAGGTCAGCCACATGGGTATGGTACTCTTTCCCCCTTAGTCTTCCATCTGTGACCTGGCTTCTTCTCATCTGGATTTCCACTTTGCCCTTGGAGGCTGCCCCATGACTACTCTGGTCTCCTGAGTGTGGAGTGTGCCTCCCACTGTCTGAACTCCATCTCTAAGCAGAGACAGCCTGGCAAAACTCAATCAGATCAGACCCGGCCCTTGGGATTCAATCTTGGTTTTCCACATGTGGTACTGAGAGCGATCTGCCGGTATGGCCCCATGCCACTCCATTCCGCCCCCTTGGGAATGGTGCAAACACAGCCATCTCTCAACAACTGTCATCTCTTCATTGGTTGGCTATGTGACACTCAGATCACAATGGAGCCTACATTCTAGACCATCCATGGGTCTCATGGAATAAAAGGGGAAACTCCTCAAGGCTTGCTGGTGAGTGAGAGGCAAAGGATCGGCAGGTTCAGCATAGACTACCTATCATATGACACCTTGATAGCCTCACTGAGGCTTGGACAGACATCTTGGTCCTAGGCCATGCCCTGGAAATGGACAGTGCCATTGGGAAGAAGCCATTCAGCCTGCTCGTAGAAGACAGCTGGCCCCCTGACACCTCATCAGACATCAAACCATAAGAGAAGCTGCCATATATACAGCATCAGATATTACCCAGGGATGTTCCTACCCATGGCAAGATAACCTGAAAAGGAAGTGTCCCAAGAACAGCGGTAGATGCAATAAAGGCAAAAAGGAAGAGCCAGGTGACATGTGACTCTCTCTAAAGTCAAAGAGTAATCAGAAGGAAGGGATAGGTAGAGGGCTCCATCATTAAAGTGCAGGCCTGATCCCTAGAGTCTTCACAGAAAGCCGAGTGTGGCGGTTTGCTTCTAATCCCAGTGCCCAGGAAGCAGAGACAGGTGGATCCCTGGAGTTTGTTGGTCCTAGGTCCCAGAGAGACCAAGCTAAAAAAAAATCCCAAAGTAGACAACTCCTGAGAAACAGCACCTGAGGGTGACTTTTGGCCTCTATGTGCACATAAGCATGCACACATATACACACAAATACACATACAAATATACATATATATATATATATACATACACACAAACATGCATGTACTTATACACATATACAAATATAAACACACACGCACACACACAGAAATGCCAGCAGGGCATTTACAAGCCTGAATGAGGGGCTGTGGTGAGAGCAAGGCCTATGAAACCCTGTAGAGATGAGACTTCCCCATAAGAGTGTTCTTTACAAAACAGGAAAGACAGGATGGAAATGAACAACATATTTTACTCTAGAACATCAAGAAAGAAAAATTTCAAAAAATTGGATAGTTAATGATCAGGGAAAGTCAGCAAGATAGTGAATCATTCTCAGCACCTGCATGACAGCGCACAACCACCTAGAACTTCAGTTCTAGGGGGTGTGACGCCATCTTCTGGCCCCTTTGGGTACTGCCTTCACATGGTATATATGGTATATATTCAAACACATACACACACACACTATATATATATATATATATATATGTATATATGTATATATACATACACACACATACACACACACACACACACACACACACACACACACACACACACACACACACACACATCAAAACATAGATGGCCACTGCTGGAGAACAGCT